CCTGAGAATCATGCAAATAAATTTTACAGATTAAACACTTTTGAATTTAACTGTTAATATTGATATCCTTAAAACAACATTAACTTAAATCCACCGACATCTATTACACCTTGTGAGAATGCATGCTACGAGGGTCGCCCTACAAACTCGCATTTTGTAAGAGAAGGGCTTTTCTAAGGCCCATTAATTTCCATAAGTCAAAACCAAATTCATGACGAACGAAATTAATAGTCGGTCTCCATTTGGCCATGCAATAGAATTCAGGGACCCCGAGGGGGGTTAATAAATTTAATCGCATTCTAAGTGAATCCCATTTCTCGGTCCTAAGGTCGTCAAATTTGATTATACGTCATCCGAGGGGAAGCCCGTACGCTCTCATAAGATTTCCTCTAACCGTCTACTTTTAGAAATTTGTCCTGGTAATTTCCTACAATTAATTTTAGCAATGTCACCCGAGGGGGAGCCCATAACCGCAATTAATTGATTTACCGACAAATTAGAAATGGAGGCCTTAGGAATTTTACAATTAACTTTAATTTAAAATCCCTTCTCAAACTTAGTATAATTTAATGAGGATTTTTAACTATTTATACAATTCCAAATTAATCTATGTTAATGCAATAATTAATTAACATGCATATTAATTCATGCAATTCTAAATTAATCTATGTCAATGCAATAATTAATTAACATGTTCAATAATTTATGCAATTCTAAATTAATCCATGCCAGTGCAATAATTAATTACATGCATAATTTATTGACACAATTCTAAATTAATTCTATGCATTACATAATTAATTAACATGCATAATTAATCTAGCAATACTAAATTAATCCCATGCAAGAACATAATTAATTAACATGCATAAATAATAATTTAATGGCATAATAAATTTAATTAAATAAATAAATAAATCCACTATTATGGCCATTAAATATTGAGTCTCCTTAAACAAGGAAACTGTGACAGTTCTTTTCCCTGTTCAACTGGAACTCCTTTAAGCAGTAGAATCCTGGTTGATCTTGTACTGCTTGGACAAGAAGGCAAAACCTCTCCACCTCCTGCAGCCAACCGCCGACTGCCGCCTGGCTGCCGCCCGGCCGCCGCCCGCCGCCGCCAGTGGTCGGAAAAACGCGCCGTTTTTTTTTCTTTCTTTCGAGGCTCGTTGATCTCTTGTGATCTCCCGGTTATCAACACACGATCACAACACGAAAAATATAATTTACAAAATTACATAATTCGATCCTAGATCCAACGAATGGATGTACATGTTTTCTAAACAAATAATTAAATCTATCCGGTCAACCCCCGGGCGAATAATTATTACAAACATTCATCCATAAATTCCTCGACATGCCCGAGGCTTTAAAAACAAATTTAAAACCATACATCACATTCAACAACATTCATCAAACACATAATCGGCCATAATAGTGGATTAACTATTTTCCTGCAAAACCGAGTTATGCAAATATAATCCAATATATGGCTGCGTTTGAACACATCTTGTCAAATAAAGCCGTAAAAATTCGAACTTTGTACAAAACGAATTAACCAAGTGCTCTGATACCACTTGTTGGGATCTGTGAGGATCTCGTTATGTACAAATCACGAATTCAATAGCAAACGTAAACCTATGCGCAGCGGATCTAAAGGTTTGACGTAGAGAACTTACGGCTTAAAATTTATGTAGATCTGGTTGACCACGAACGGTTGACCGCAATTGATTGACCGCAACACGCGTCTTGGGTTGCACGAACAAGATCAGATCAAAACTGGATCAAACGGATGCAAACAGATCAAAACGAAATTTTGCTGCCAGACACCTTCCGGCGGCGCGTGAGGGCGCGTGCGGCGTCGGATTCCGGCGACGTCGGCGGCGATGGAAAGCTCTCGTCGAGACGGTCGTCTGGGTATACTGTACGTCTCAATCGGACTTCCGGTTAGTTCTGTAGGTCAAAATCAATTTCGTCTCGGTTTACCTACAGATCTTCTACTGTATTACTCAATACACCCTTCTTCAACTTGTACCAGTGGAGCAACAAGAAGAAGATAAAGCTCGAATGAGATCTAGAGAGAGAGGCGTGTTTCACGTGAGAATGAATTCTATTCTCTTCTCATGAGCTTAATGATGTATATATAGAGCTACAGTAGGGACCCTAAGGAGATTAGGAAAAGGGCTCCTTAATTAATTAGACTAACTGTGGGCCAAACCCACTCCTCTAATTAATTAAATAATATTAATGGGCCACCAACATTATATTATTGCACTCCCTTTCCCTAGCCCAAATTACATTTGAGACTCCAATAATAATTACTCGATTTACCTCCCCACGTTTAAGATATAATGTCCATTAATTAATTCGATTACTGACAATCAAGAATTAATTAATTTATTATTATTTCACCGAAGCTAGCGCTCGTTCATCACATTCTTATTATGCCGGAATTTAATCCACCTGCAGGGTTTAGCATAACAATCCTTCATGAACTCACTCCGGGGACATCATCAAACTAACGCACATGGTGACCGTAAATATCCTAACAGCACATCCTATATATAATAATATTACCCAAAACAGTAGGAATATTAATCCAGCGAACTGAACCTCACCCATGTGAATCAAAGTAATATATATTATATATATCTGCCTGTTTAATATCTTACGGGTTAAGAGAACGCAATAATTAACCGAGGCCTAGTTCATTTACGACGATCAGTATAAAATGAACTTCTCCTCTCTGGGATCCTGTTCAATACATAAATGTACTAGTGCAACTAATCAGTCAAGACAAACTGTACAGTTGACACTACAACTTCGGATGGGGTGTTCATGTCCATCTAGGTTGTGAATAACTATTCTTGTTCGCAAGTAACTGATAGAGTGATCTTCGGTTCGCCCGATGACGACCCACCCTATCTAAGTGCAGAACAACAGAACGTAGAACTTGTTTAATCTAACATGATTCTCATTCATAAAGGGTAAATGTGCAATATCATGCAAAGCCAAGCTTTCAGTATATAACACTAACATGTATTTCCACAAAAAAACGTATAAAGAAATATGGCTGGAATAATAATAAAAAATTTATTTGTTAAACCATATTTTGCACTCATAGATACGAATTCTCATCAAATTCAAGATTTAAAATTGTGAAGAATGTATATATATGTGGACTGATTGAAGATATATGATTCCTTAAATTAAGGAATTATTTCCGGTAAAAAAAAATATAAACTTTAAATATAGATTTTATTAGTAGTGTATATCAAAGAATATTGTTACATTTAAAATTCCTATGAAGAAGAATTCTATTAATTTTCAAATTCAACATCTCATAAAAATAATATAATACACATTTACACTGTATGAAACAATATTTAAAATCCACCGTTCAACATGCATAAAATGTAAAATTACCTAACATGAATAATTTTAACTTTCTAAAATCAGTACACAATTTGCTCGGTATGTACTAATAGTCTAATAGTTAAGAGCTAATATTTGCTATGACATCTATCGATTGTAAAGAATTCCATTTTGTATGGAATTCGAAATGAAAAAACATATTCTGAAAATCAAATCTGGTTTAGAGATCGATTTCTTAATGGCCTTAAATTATGCAAATATATTGTTTCAGTTTTTAGGAATCTTTTTTATGATCTCAGTCTTTGCATTATATGAAATCTATATCTGTACTTATATAAAAAGTCATCTTATTTACTAGAAATAGTAGGCAGAAAAGCCAAAGGTAATTAATGCTTGCTGGAAATAGAATGATATTAATTACAAATTTGTTTTGGTATTTATAGACTTGACATTAAAGATTTGTTATGGGATAAAAATCAGAACCGATTTTTTTATCTTTGCTAGAAAAGTCAAAGGTAAGTATAAATTTGTTTTATCCCATAGCATCGGTTTAGTTAAGAAAATTCATCAAATCAGTTTTATATGTCAAGCCTATGAATAAAGATTTAATCGGTCAAAATTAAATCTTTATCTTACGTCACCCATAAATAAAGTAGATGTCAAGTCTAAATTGAAGGGTTTAATTGTCTATATAGTCATTGATTTACATAAATACATCTAATGTTTAAAGTTTGTGTAGATTGAAAATTCCTTCTTATCTTTTTATAAAAATATCTTATTATTATTGTATGGAAAATCAAACTCATAATGTTGTCGAATACTATCTTATTGTATAATTTTTCTTGCGTATTATAAAACTTTTATTGAATATTGCATTTTATAATATAGTATTCCTCAAATAAATATATCCCGTGCCACGCACGGGTCACGTACTATATATATCCCGTACATTTTTTTGTATTCATGTATATAATTATAAGTCTGAATAAATAGCCTTAAAATTATGCACCACGTGCATCGCACGGCTCTGTACTAGTTAGTATCAAAGCATTGTACATGCTTAAATAAAACTCTTAATTAAGTTGTCCTCCGTGGCGTAGCCAGGATGAAAAACTATCCAGCACTAGTTTAGTTAATGGCGAACATTGAAGAATCACGTTTTTTCTTTAATTATTTCAATACATTTTTTTAAATAATAAAATTATTAATTAATATTGTATATGTATATATATATATATATATATTTATCTACAAAGTATAACACCATTTTTCTCCTAATTATTTAACTCAATAAAAAAAATTAGTATTGAATAGTTTTGTTCTTTGTTCATCTTACAAAAATAATTATATAAACAAGTATCAATTTCAGTATCCAAAACAATAGATCTATTTTTCTTAAATAGTGTTCAAAATGTTACATGCATTGTTACCTTTATTATATTTCTCAACAAAAGAAGAGAATTAAACTTAAATTTTAACTTCAAATATTGCAAATTTTGTTTTCATAAATTACATGAAAAACAATAAAATTTTTGTTTCAGTAAACTACGTGAAAAAAATAATAGATAATATACATTTTTTAATCATTCATATAAATATAATATATTTTATCACATTATTTACATTGAAACGACCTTCAAAATAATAAAATAAAATTTTAAAACTATTTATTTCATATTCATTTACACTACCAAAGTTCATTATTCACTACACGAAGAGAAATTTTCATAAAATAAAAATAAAGTAAAATAAGTATGCTACCAATTGCTTTCAAATATGGAAAATTCGACCAAATATGTAATTTTCATAAAATTAAAATTAAATTAAATAAAAATGCTACCAATTGCTTTCAAATATGGAACATTCGACCAAATATTCACATTACCAAGACTCCAAGTTCATTCTCACTTTCCTGTCATTAATGAAATTACTTTAAGAATGTATTAATGCAAAAGCAAAAATTTAATTTAGATTGGACTTAATAAAATTTCATTCATATACGTTATTATTATAATTTTTTTAACCTTTGGCTATAGCCCTAGTGAGTCTTGTATGTAGCTACGCTTTATTTTACAATTAGCAAATACTATATATAATTGATTGAACTAGATGATAGGGAATGGTCAATTGAATAAGTGAGTTTGACTGAATGATTATATTATATAATTTACAAAAAATATTAATTAAATATCTAAAAGTGAATAGTTATTTTTTTATANATCACTTCAAAATTACAAAAATCATTTTAAACTTTTGATTAATGACAGTTGACCATATAATGTGTTGACCGTATAATGTGATTAGATGTTATTATTGTTGTTACATTTAATTTTTTTTTTTTGAAAATAAAAAATATATTTGAAATTCTTAAATAAATAATAAATAATTCACAAATAAAAGACGTACCAAAATATACATTACATCCAATCAGATAAACGCAATTTAAAAAAAAAAATATTCCAACTCTTTTAATTGTAAATTTTGTCTGCAAAAAAGTGAAAAAAAAATAATTAATCATTATATGCATACAGAGTCACAATAAGTTATTTATATCTGTGCAAATGCACAGGTTGAATTCTAGTTACAGTAATCTCGTCTAAAAAGTTCATAAGCTTTCTAAAAATTATTGATGGTCCGGTTGACAAATAACCAATCCTAATTGTTTATATACGAAAACTGATAAGATATAAGATATGAGTGGTTGCAACTGTACTGAAATCTCATCCTACAGTAAAAAAATTGAATATGGCATGTTTATCAAACTGTTTGTTCAATCACCTGAAATTCGGCCTAGAACTTATGAATATTGTTTCACAAAGTAGTGTTTTATCCAAGCAAAGTGATGTCACAAAAATTTGGTCCAACTCCACATCGAGAAATCTAACATCATTACGCCACAACACTGATAACAAACACCTTATTCGTCACAGTGCATGCTTTTCTTTCACCTTCACTCGCATAGTACGTTACAAATGAATATGCAATAGCAGTCGTCAATTCATCACCAACGTCTTAAAAATCTTCTGTAAGATACTATTAGAGCTTAAAGATTATTCAAATGTCAATCTAGTAATTCTTTGCATCACTTTGCATAGATTGATTAGAAGAGGTCAAAGATGACACTGTCTGCAGTTATGATACAACTTGTGCTATTTTTTACAATTTCGTCCTACGCACTTTGACCCTCTACAAAAAATTACGGGTGGTCGGTCGTGTTCGAGTATAAACTTCACATTTCAGCACCTATCTTATCGCCACCCTAACAATTGCTCCAGACTTCAATTTCCAAAATTCAACCACACCGTAGTATCATCACACCTTTGTACACAAAATTCTCAGATCAAAAGATTACACAAGTACAAAACGAATGCCTAGTCGTCGTCTGACAAGCAAACAACACCATCGATCCCAGCCCCAACAGCAGCAGCAGCTTGGTTAACAGGCGGTTGCGGAATGTTCCGGATGATTCCCAGGTCAAACGACTCCAAACTGCCACCTGTTGGTCGAGACATATTGCCGGATGCGGGAAGATTAGCAAAGGCCAACGGCGGCGGCGGTGGCCTGAAGGGCTGGAGGTGCGGGGCTGCCGAGCGGATTTCGCCGCCGCCGCTCGGGCGGTGGGCCCCGCAAGAGGACGGCGTGACGGTGCCAATGACGAGCGGTGGCCGAGCGGAGAAGAGGGCCGCGGTGTTGTGGACGGCCTGGACTGGACGGGACGTCTGAACAGGATTGGGGGACGAGTAGCGGACGG